AGTGCCTGAGCATCCCCTGGCCACCCAGACACACATCCCAGTGCAGCCCAGCCCTTTTTCTTGACTTTGCCATCCCATGGGGTCCTGGCACTGGGCTCACACATCACGCAGAGGAAAAGCGCAGCTAAACCTGGCACAACACCACCCTGGGGTGTCCGTGCACAGGGTTCAGCAGCAGGACACAGCCCAAAACCTGTTTGGAGCTTGGTCTCCCCCCTGGGACACCAAGCCTCTCCTACCATCCATCCAGGCACCACCTCAGCTCCACACTGAAGTGAAGCCTCTGCCACCTTCACTCAGCCCTGGCTGTGGCAGGAGGAGCCTGGTGGGTGCCAGCCTCAAACCCCAGCGTTGCCCTGTGCCCCCCAGCCATGGCAGCTCCTGACCTCCCACACACCCCTCTTGCTCAAGTACCCAGCGGGTGACTCAGTGGGATGTGACAACCAGCGGCACCAGGAAAACACCACAGTGAATCCATGACCCCAGCAGTGCCTGACACTGCCCCCAAGTGAGGTGTTGCCCCCCAAGCCAGGTGTTGTCCCCTGAGGAAGGTGCTGCCCCCCAAGTGAGGCTCTGCCCCCCGAGCGAGGTGCTCCCCAGCGCGCTCCTACCTTGTGTCCGTGCTCAGGCGCTTGTTTGTGCTTTCACTGCCGGCACACCCCGGGCTGGTGGCTTAAAGGATTTTCCTTTAATAACCACCAAATCCCTCCCCTGGGCAGTAAGCCGCAGACCTGGGCCCTTTCCTAGGTGCAGAGCGCTCCACCGTGCTCTGCTCGCTCCCTGCTTTGCATATGCTCCTATCAAACTGGATTTCCCCACTCCTGATCCAGCCCAGTGCTTAAAAAGCTCTAAATCCCCTTGAATTTCATTTCCCCTGGTCCTCGAGGTCTATCCTCAGTTTCGGTCTCACCCACATATTTTAAATATTCCTGTTCACAGCCTTGATGTGAGATTTCCGCCAGTTTTGGTGTCGTCCCTGTGCAGAGCTCGGGCAACCCTTGTCCCGCTCAGAGCAGCCACTGCCTTGGCTGGGAAATGATCCGTGGCATTGTCATGGCTCCACTCAGGATCCAGCACTGGGGAAAGCTTCAGTCTGGCACTCCCACCCCATAGCCCCATGCTGAGGGGGCCAGGTTGAGGACAGGCACTGGATCCCTGCCCTGGCAAACTCCACCCCCCATCACCATGCCCACAGGGTGCTGAGCGTTCCCAAACTGTCTCTGAGAAAGAGCTGACCCCAAACTGTCCCCAGGACACGTCCCCAGAGGAGGGGACTCTTATTCAGTCATGCAAATAAATTTCCGTTGTAGCTCTTCTCCCCCCTGTGACAATTCTGTCCTCACGAGGATCTCCCTGCCAGCCATGCTCCCCGGGGCTGCGCAGTCTTGTTTCACTTCTCTTTTCTGATTTCACAGGAAAAAGTAGATAAATCTGAAAACTAGCAAGTGCAGCAGCTTCTGAGGTCACAGGCAGCAGTGGCAGCAGGTTTCTCTGCCTGGAAAGCCCGTTTTGGCCTCAGCCCCTCCCACCAAGGGGGTTTCTGAAGGCCTCATGTGATCCCCCCCAGGATCCTGCAGGACTGGCACTATTGCTCTTGCCCTGAGCACAGTAAAACTGGACAGCATGGTTGTTTGATGGCTTTAATGAGGGTGGTGACAAGATAACACAAATTATGGACCTGTGAGCTGGGAAAGGGCCAGTGGAGGCCTGTGCTGGTGGGCACAGGCAAGCATGAGGCCCCCCTGGCGTCATCAGCACCAAACACCTTGCACAGCGCAGAGATCCTTGGCCTTGTGGTCTGATCCAGTGGTTGAGATGGCTGCTGGGTCCTGGGAGAGCTGCTGCCCAGCCCTGGCACAGCAGGTCCAGCCCTGAGATGGGAATAAACAGGAGGAAGCTTGGCTCTGAGAATGGCGTGCTGAGCTGAGACCGGGGTGCGCCACGTAAACAGCTCCACTTCTTCTTTACTGTGCCCTGCAGAAACATCCCTGCTTCCTCCCCACCACGGCTTGGCCGTGCAGGCCATGGTGCCATGCGTCACTTGGCAGCTACCCTGAGGCTGGCGTACTCCGTGCAGGCTGTGCCCGCGCTCCTGCCGCGCCGGGGGGCCGTGGGCAGGGCCTGCAGGTCGGCGTAGTGGATGTCGTTCTCCTCCTTGCTGCTCTGCTGCAGAAGTGCACACAAATGGGGGATGACGCCACAGCAAAAATCTTGCAAAAATAACCCCAACCCTATTTCATGGAATCACAGGATATCCCCTGGGTTGGAAGGGACCCACAGGGATCATTGAGTCCAGCTCCTGGCCTTGCACAGGCCAACACCAAGAACCAGGTTCAAGCCAGGCTGGTGGTGATACGGCTGCAGAGGTGGCCCCGTGCTGCAGTGCAGACTGTGCTGGGACCACATGCAGGCAGCTGCTGCCCACCCAAGGTTCCCCTTGGTCCCAGAGACTTGCAGAGTTCCTGCAAGCCGGGGCATTGGCATGGGATGCACTTCCCCCTATTCACAGATCGCTCTTACCTGGCTGGGCAGGTGGGAGCTCTCTGCATCCAGAACTTCGCTGCAGAGGGAAGGACAACCATTAGAACTAAAGGAATCCGGGTCCCCTCTCACCCAGCACAGCCTCCCTCAATTCTCCTCCCGAATTTCGGCAGGATGCCCATGCTGAAGGCAGAGAGGGAAAACGTGCTGTCTGTGCTCCTGGGCTGGGCTCAGACACCGCAGCGAGGGGCTGCAGGGAGCTCCCTGGTACTGGGTGCTCCCCACCAGGTGCTTCTGTGAAACACAGAGAGAAGCAGCCACAGCACAGTAAAGGACCTTTTCTAGGGCAAATTACTGCTCCAGAGAGTTAAAAAAACCCCAGCATAAAGCAGGTGGATAAGGCATTTTGCTCACCTCAGGGTGCAGAAGGAAGAGGTGGTGGGTACAAACCTGCAGGTGCTGGGGGTCCCTGCACAGCACTGCAGAGAGGTGGGCGGGAAGCTGCCCACGGCTGCTGGCCCAGCTGGGCACGGGCTGCCAACCCTGCCTTGGCGCTTCCTCCTGTACAGGCAAAGGGCGACGAGGAGGCCGAGGACAAGGAGGAAGCAGAGCACCACAACTGCAGCCACCATGCTGGGAACCACGGCTGCCTCTGTGGAGACGGAGGCAGAGCGGGAGAAGGTGGTGGGTGCAGAGCAGTGTGGGACCTTGCTGCAGGTAGGGTGGGGGCTGTGGGATGGGGTCCCTGGGAGCAGCATCCTGCTGGGCTGCACTCACCAAGCACAGATACCTCTGTGCCAGTTCCACGCTGAAACACCTCATTCTCACCAGTCCGGGACTTGGTGAACTTCACACAGTAATAGGTGCCGACATCCTCGGGCTGAACATCCCTGATGTGGATGGTGAAGTCTGTGTCGGATCCACTCACTGCTCTCGTCACACGGGGAGCAGAGCCTGTGTCCGCATAGATGGTCCTGTTCCCACTGCCCCAGCCCTTCAGCCACTTCACAGGACCAGGTTCACTAGATCCAGACACGGTGCAGCCCAGGGTGAGCGTCTTCCCCACTGTCACCGACACCTTGTCCTGGGGCTGGTGCACCTTGAAGTCCTGACCCCTCCGGGCACCTGCACCTGGGCACAGCAACAGGAGGGTTCAGGGGTGAGTGATGGGGTGAGGCGAGGGCTGGCTCACAGGCAGAGCAGCTGAGAGATATCCTGGGATGTGGTAGAGGCAAAGTGCAGGCACTGGGAGAGGGGAAGCCGAGTTCAAAATGAACAAGGGGCAAGTCTGAAAAATTAGCAGGTTGCCCAGGGCAGTGGTGGGGTTACCATCCCTGGAGGGATTTAAAAGACATACAGATGTGGCAGTTGGGGACATGGTTTAGTGATGGCCTTGGCAGTGCTGAGGGAATGGTTGGACCTGAGGATTCTGAGATCTTTTCCAAGCTAAATGGTTCTGTGATTCCATGATTTGATAAATCTACACCCTGTTGTGTCATTTGCAGGAGGTGCTGCAGGTGCCTGGAGGCCAGAGAGGTACAGAGGGAGCCAAGGGGAATTCCTGCCAGGAAAAACAACCGAGTGCTGTTAAACGTTAACGCCCTGGCTCTGTTCCATACAAGTCAGGATTACTGGGGCTCCATGAGGAATTGGGGTTCGCAGCCAGGAGCCAACTAGGAGCTGGCTCTGGGCAGGGATGTGCAGTCCCGGAGTCCAGCACAGCTCCCACACTCCTTGTCCCCAAATCCCTCTTGCACCCCAAAATCCTTCCAGTCTCCAAATCTCCCCTTTTCCCAAACCCCTTCATTCCCAAACCCCTCCTGCCCCCAAACCTCTCCTGCCCAAATCCCCCGGTGTGCTCGGCACCGGCTCGGCTGGGCTCGACTCGGCTGTGCTCTTCTCCGGAGCTGGGCTCTGCAGCCCCGGGGACGCTTTGCCACCAAAAGGTGGTCGCGGAAGGAAACCCCCCGCCCGGTGCTTATCTTTGGCGCCCGCTCGCATTAATGACCGGTGTGGGACGGGGCAGGGGAGCAGGGGGCTCGGGGGCTCCACTCCCGACTCACCCGAGAGCTGCCGCTGAACGGGGCTGCGCTGCCCGGACTGGAGCGGAGCTGCCGCCGCGGCCATGGGCTCTGCCCAAACTTTGGGAAGGAAAAGGAGAAGCAGGACAGGAAACGGAGGCGAGCGGGTGGTTAACGCTTTGATGCCTGCCCGGCAGAGCCGCGCATCACCCGCGTCGGGCATCAGCCCCGTCGGGCATCACCCCTGACGGGCATCACCCCTGACAGGCATCACCTCTGACGGGCATCACCCCCGAAGGGCATCACCCCCGAAGGGCATCACCCCCGGCCCGCCCGGCCCCCGAGGGGCTGCTCCGGACGGGGAGCCGGACGGGCTCTGCGACCTCCCCGGTTTGGTGCGGGGCCAGAGCACCGGGGGCGCCTGGCCCAGCTCTGCACCACCGACCCATGGGAGACACCAGCCCGCACCCCGATCCTGCTGGCAAAGGATGGGCGTCCCCCCGACGCCCCGGGGTGCTGAGCCACAGGCTGGGGCCACATGTGGGAGAATGTGAGGCATCAGGGCCCCTCTCTCTGGCTGCCCAGTGCCCGTGGCCATGGCCATGGCTTTGGCACATATCTGAGGAGAAAGTGGGATGGACATCACCATTTTGGACCAGCCTCATGATGAGAACACTGGGGAACAACCGGGACACGATTGCATAGAGGAACTGGGCCATTGGTGGCCTCTTTCCTTCCCTTTTGCTGGGTGAGTGCAGCACCCTGCTGAGCTGAGTCCAGTCCAGCTGAGCCAAGTCAGGTTGAGCCTAGTCCAGCAGAGCTGAGAGAAGCCCAGACATCAGGGAGTGAGACGTGGGGATATCCATGGCTCCAGGGACAGAGGTGCTGCCTCTCACCTGCCTGATGCTGCTCCTGCTCTGCAGAGCCCCGGGTAAGTGGGGCCCACACAGCCCCAGAGCTTTTCCAATGCATGCTTCTGCATGCTGCTGGCTGGGCAGTCCTTCCCTGTGCCTGGGGATATCCAGGGCTCTCCTCTCGCTGCCTCCCTTCCAACCTGCTTTTATCCCTGGACAAAGAGTTTGGTTAACTCCAGCCCCATCCCGGGAGCTCCAGGCTCTCCCTGTCCCTCACTCCCCAGCAGCAAGGAACAGGAACATCCCTCCTGCTCCTGGCTCAGTGCCAGTGTCTGGCGATGCCTCATGCTGTGCCCTGGCTCTTGTCAACCCCAAACCCTCCTGTTGCTGTGCCCAGGTGCAGGTGCCCAGGGGGGTCAGGACTTCAAGCTGCACCAGCCCCAGGACAAGGTGTCGGTGACAGTGGGGAAGACGCTCACCCTGGGCTGCACTGTGTCTGGATCTAGTGAACCTGGTCCTGTGAAGTGGCTGAAGGGCTGGGGCAGTGGGAACAGGACCATCTATGCAGAGACAGTCTCTGCTCCCCGTGTGACAAGAGCAGTGAATGGATCCAACACAGACTTCACCATCCACATCAGGGATGTTCAGCCCGAGGATGTCGGCACCTATTACTGTGTGAAGTTCACCAAGTCCCTGAGCGGTGGGGATGTGGTGTTTCGGCGTGGAACTGGCACAGAGGTGTCTGTGCTCGGTGAGTGGGGGATCCCAGAGCAGCTCCTGGGGGGAGCCAGCCCAGCCCAGCCCAGTGGGCTCTGCTCAGGGTGAGCAGGGATGGGGAGGGGGCTTTGGGGGCTGGTCCCAGGAGAGGATGCCATGGGCCATCCCTGTGACCTGGTTGCTCACATCCTCTGTCCTCACTGCAGGTGTGAACCTTTCATCCAACCTCCTCCTCCTGTGGCTTGGCATGCTGCTGGAGAAGGCAATCCTCGGTGGGGTCCTCTTCTTCCTCTTCAAGCACACAAAGAAGGAAGCGCTGGGGATGCTGACCTGTCCCACTGTTCCTCAAGGCGGGTCCCAGGGCTTGGCCACCACCAGCCATGTCATGTGAGCCTGGAAATAAACACACCAGGATGCAGAGGATACCCTGGGTTGTTCTGTGCCATCAGTTCTGGGCACCCAGCCCTGCCTGCGACCCATCCACCTGCCCTCCTCCACGGCTTAGTGCTGCCCATCCCAGTGCCCGGTGCTGCCCATCCCAGTGCCCGGTGCCTGATGCCTTGTGCCTAGTGCTGCCCAACCCCATGCCCAGTGCTCAGTGCCCGGTGCCTGGTGCTCAGTGCTGCCCATTCTGGTCCCCCACGCCCGGTTCCCTGTGCTTGATTCCCAGTGCCCAGTTCCCGGGGCTCAGTACCCAGTGCTCAGGGCCCAGTTCCCAGTGTCCGGTGCTCAGTGCTCGGTGCCTGATTCCCAGGGCTCAGTGCCCAGTTCTCAGTGTCCGTTCCCGGTGCTCAGTGCTGCCCATCCCGGTTCCCGGAGCTCAGCGCTGCCCATTCCTATTCCCGGTTCCCTGTTCCCGGTTCCCTGTTCCCGGTTCCCGGCGCTCAGTGCTGCCCATCCCTGTTCCCGGTTCCCCGTTCCCGGCGCACCGGCTCCTCCCGGCCGCCAGGGGCCGCTGTGCGCGGGCCGGGCCTCGCTCGCCGCCGCTGGTGTTTCCGGGCGGGCGGGTTTGGCGGCGCACGCGGGGGCGGGGCGGGGCGACCCGGCGGGGTTTGGGCGCTGCACCGCGGCAAGATGGCGGACAGGGAGGAGGCGCTGAGGGAGTTCGTGGCCGTGACCGGCACCGAGGAGGAGCGAGCGCGGTTCTTCCTCGAGTCTTCGGGCTGGGACCTCCAGGTACCTCCGCCGCTGCCCTCCGCTCGCTCCGCTGCGGGGCTTGGCGGCGCCGCGGCGTTGGCCGGGGGGCAGCGCTGGGCCGGAGCTCGGTGTCCCACAGGCTCAGGCCTCGCCCCCGCCCGTCGCCGGGCTCAGCCCTTGCGGCGGGACCGTGGCCTGGCTGGGGCCGAGGCCCGTCTCGGTTGTCTCGTTCGTTTTCTTCCGCGCGGTGAGGGGCGGTGGGTCTGGGGTGTGCCGGGTTTGTGTGGGTTCTCCTGGAATGCTGGCGAGGTTGTCAGCGCTGTGCTGTTGGTGCTGCCAGCGGCGGCCCCAGCGCCCCCAGACCGTGGAGGAGCCACCCACTACTCTGACCTGCCCCTGTCCCTGGTCCTTCTCGAAGGATCTGGCTGTGTTAACCTCTGCTTGTGGGTGGCACAAAAGCAGCTGTTTCAGGGCAGTAGTTTTGGCATAGCCCTTGTGTCAGTGCTGCAGAAGAAGAGCCCTGGCATTCCCTGGCAGGGAAGGTGACATCCCTGCAGCAGGGAGTGCCCTGCCATGACACAGCCAAACAGTAGAGCCTGCCAAGGCCTCGTCTTTGCCAGGACCTGCAAAGGGGGAAATGGCATGAAGTGTCTTTAGTAAGAGGTGCCTTGAGAGGTCCAGCGTGGCAGATGGTTCAGCTGGGATGTTTGTGTGGGTTTTGCTGTTTCTCTGGAGTGTTTGCTCCCATCCTGACAAGCTTTGCTGGTTTCCCTTTGCAGATTGCCCTCGCCAGTTTCTACGAGGACGGGGGTGATGAGGACATCCTGACCCTGCCCCAGCCCACCCCCAGCTCCATATCCAGAGGCACTGGAGCCAGGTGAGAAGTGAGCTCCAGGTCCATCCTGGAAACCTGACAGTGGAAACTGTGAAAACACAAACTCTCTCTAAAGCACTGATGTGTGTTAGTTTTCGGGAGTAGGTCTGTGTTTAGATTTGCTTCACCTCATTTGGCTCTCTAGAAATTGTGAAAGCCTGAGCATTTGTACGTCACCAGCATGGGTGTTATTGCACAACTGAGCCAGAGACCAGTTAGGAAAGCTCGGCTCATTGCTCAGGAAAAACTTGGTTTGTCTTTTGAGGTTAAAGACGGTCAGTTGGTGACACTTTCATTTGAGCAGACCATGTCTCTGCAGGAAGAACATTTTCTGGTTTTGTGTGAGACCTGAGCTGATCAAGTCAAGCATTTTACAAAATAAGAAGTGCGTTTTGCCTTACCAAATCCCTGTGAAGTCAGGGAATGCTGCCCAGTTTTAAAGAGGAGTTGGTGGCTGTATCTTAAAGGAGAAATGCTCTCGGTTCAGGTGAACAGAGTCCACCTTGCAGAAGGAGCCTTTTTCAGTGTCGACTGTTTCAGTGTGGAATGTTTTAGCTGGGAATGTTTTAGTTTGGACCGTGTCCCAACATTCTTCTTGCTGGATCTTTGCAGTGACCATCGAGTAACCTCGTTCAGAGACCTTGTGCATGCGCAGGAGGAGGATGATGAAGAGGAGGAGGGACAGCGGTAAGTTTCCAGCTAAAGACTCAAACCCTGGGTGTTTATCCCGGCCCTTTTGGGAGGACTTGCTGCTTGTCTTCAGGTTTTTAAGATCAGGTTTGTGTCTCTATGAAATTCGTGTAGTGAAGCATCTGAGATTTGACAGGGGTTTGTCAGTGCAAAGCCTGTGCACGAGCACGTGCTCAGCTGTGTAAGCACCAGCTCTCAGCGCTGAGAGAAACCCTAAAGTAGGGTATGGAAGCCCTGGGTTAAGAACAGGAAACAGCCCAGATCCTCATTTGTGTCCACAGAGAACGGAAATGTGGGAATAACGCAGAGATTTGTTTTCTTTCTGCTTGGGGTTTTCGGTTTTATTTTTGTTGGGGTTTGGTTTTGGGTTGTTTCGTTTGGTTTCTTTTTGAAGTGCTGCTTAAGGGTAATGTACTGGAATGTGGAAGTGGAAAGAAAAACAGGAACATGGAATACTAGTGGGAAAGTCTCCTACGATGTCAGCTGTAAGTAGTTAAATACCCTTAAGGTTGACAGGCAAAGTAAATGGAATGGAACTGATGTCTCTGAAGGGGTGGCTCAGCCTGGATGGACCGTGGTCTGCCGGCAGCTGGGAGCTCGCTCTGTGTGTGTTACAAGCCATCTGGAAGCTAATAAACCCAATCTTCCAGAAGTGCTTAATTGCACTTCACTGACTGTGCATCCATTGCTTCCAGCTGAGATCCGTCCTTTGTGTGGCATGACCGTGTGCCTTCCCTCAGAATTCCAGTTGGATGTTTTTCTGATGGGTCAGAGGCTTGCTGGAAGCCTTGTTCAGCCGGGTGATTGAGCTGGTACTGGTGTTTAAAACAGGGCTTGTCCCTCTGGGCTGTTCCTCTTGCCAGGTCTGGGACTTGTGGCCACTTTATTGCTATTGATCCACAGGTAATTTTACAGTAATTGACATAAAAAGAAGGTCTCTGCAGTACGGGAACTGGAAGGTGGTGGCAGTGGGAGACACGCTGGTAGTATCCAGTATTTGTGATTCCACAGTGTTTCACTGAGCTGCACAAATATGAACAAGTGAATCCTGATGTCAAACCGCTGGGTCCTGGAGGGGCAGCGGGTCCAGTCTGACCAGGAGCCGGGTGCTTTCCGTTAGGTTTTATGCCGGCGGCTCGGAGAGAAGTGGCCAGCAGATCGTGGGTCCTCCAAGGAAGAAGAGTCCCAACGAGCTGGTGGAGGATCTGTTCAAGGGAGCCAAGGAACACGGCGCGGTGGCCGTCGATCGGACGACCAAGGGCGGTGGCGAGACAAGCAAGCCGAAGGTGAGGAGGGCTGAGTTCTTCCTTCTGTTCCCTGTTTCAGTTAAGGCTCCATCATAGCAGCTGTTTGGCACTGAGGAGCCTGGAATTACCTCGACAACTAAGTCTGGACTCCTCTCTCAGTGCAGCTCTATTTTGTGTGTCACAGTGGCAAGAAAAACTGCTCTCTTGTGCCGTATTTATGAACTTGCTGAAGCTGTCACTGTGCCTACAGGGCAATAGATGTTGCTGATGCCATGAAGCCCCTGTTCATCCACAGGGGTGGTGGGGAAGGGGAGCAGCTCTCTTGGGTTTGTGTGGTTCTGTAACCCTTTGCCTGCTTCTCTCTTCCAGCCTTTTGCAGGGGGAGGGTATCGCCTTGGGGCTACTCCCGAGGAGGAGTCGGCTTACGTGGCAGGAGAGAGGAGGCAGAACTCTGCTCAGGATGTGAGTATGTCTGCACAAGTTTGTAGATGTGACCCAAGGGATTTTTCTGCTCTAGCTACAGAGCTTGCCACCCCTGAGAGTTACAAAGCTTGATAGAAATTCACAAGGACAGAAATACGGTACATCCTGCTTCCTATGGGATTTCCGAGTAGAAAATAGATGATTGGTCTTGGGTAAGCAGTTTTTTGATGAACTGTTAATTAAAAATATGAGCATTCCTTAGAAGTGCAATAATGTGTGAAGAGCACTGGGCAATTAACTTTTCTTTATCCACTGGAGAGCTGTGGAGCTGCCAGCATCAGTGTGAGGTTCCCTTGTGCTTGGTTTATGGCCAAACGTGCTTCTAGGCCGTGGTGGGAGCCTGGTTTAGGCTCCTCACCCAGCACACTCCTGGCTCTTCAGCCATATTTGCCTAAAAGGGGACTGTGGTGCCACCTTCTAGGAATTGACACCTGACCATTACATACATAGCCAGTGCTTTGGGTTTTTTCCCTCAGCCCAGAGGAACCTGGCTGGAGTGTTTTCTGCACCCGAAAGCTCCTCTGCCCAGTAGGAACTTTTCATTTTACATCGATTTTTGTTGTCACCAAGATGCTCAGTGAGGCTGATTGTTGTTTGGGGGCTGCTGCAGGTGCACGTTGTACTGAAGCTCTGGAAGAGCGGATTCAGTCTGGATAGTGGAGAGCTGAGGAGCTACCAGGATCCATCCAATGCCCAGTTCCTCGATGATATCCGCAGAGGGTACGTAGTGAG